ATTTAAATCCCTTTTCTAGACTTCCCCACCCCTTTTTTCAGGTACTGCTCATATTCAGTCTCTGTAAAACACATTAGAATCCCTTTACCAACAAACTGGCAGCAAAGATATGATAAAAAACATTTTAGTTTTTCTTCTCAATGTCTGCTAAATACTTCAGTTACTTGCACTGAGAACAGTTAGGCTTGAAGCCTACTACACCAACAACTTAACTAGAATACTGGAAATCTAGCTGCTTTCTCTTTGCAAATATTTTTATGAGAAAGCAGTGCAAATGCCAGCTTTTCTGGTGTAGTGCCTAACAGGACAGTCTTAATGTTACAGAAAATATTATGCCTGTCAGACATACCTTCAATGTCTATGAAAGAAAAATCTACTTATTACAGGAATTAATCATTCTGGTAGTAATTTGCATAACTTGTGGAATTTATGTAACACTTGTAGCTAGGAGTATTGGATGCTTTAGTTTGTAACATTAGAATACTTAATGTACATTCTGATATCTTCAATAAAACTGTAGTTTATTCTTAACTTTTAATAGCTGTGGTGAGGGGTGGAGGGGATCCTCACAGAACTGACTAGACTTCAATACAATGAGATATACTTACTCTCTTTCTTGAGATCATTCAAATATTGAGAAGACTATCATTGCAAGAAAAACTACACCAGAAACAATCAGGTAAAATGACAGTAGCTTTTAAATTCAGATGCTGATCATATTGCAATTACTTTTTATTTTTCAAAAGAACCCTTGTTCTCCTTATAGAGTTTTCTGCTTTGAAATAGCCCATGTGTTTCAGTCTGGGTTTTCTGGAGATCAAGAGAGAATCTTTCACTCATTATGACATTTTTTCTGACACTGAATGTGTTTTCCCTCAGGCTCAAGCCTGCATGTAGTCATGAAAACATTGTGCTTTGGCTGAAATCAATAGGATTTATTTTGTTTGGGTTTATGTGTTTCTTCTCTATGTTTGTGTAGGCTGTATTGAATACTTTTGTTCTTTGGATTATTTATTTTGTAAATTCTAAGACAATGAATCTGCCTTTGAATCATAGAATCACAATATAGTTTATTCTGGAAAGAACACCTGGAGGTCATTTTGTCAAACCATCTGCTCAAAGCAAGCTTACCTTCAGTGTTAGATGAAGTTGCACAGGGCCTTGTCTGGTTGAATTCTGAAGAACTCCAAAGATGAATATGTTATAATCACAAAACCTGATCCAATTCCTAGATCTCTTTATCTTTTTACTTTTTTTTTTTTTTTTCCTTTTTACAGGCAGTCAAAATTTCCCTTCCTACAAGTTGTAACTACTGCCTATTGTCTTTCTGCTGTGCACCTCTAAGGAAAGTCTGGATCCATTTTCTTTACAATATCCCCCTTCAGCTGGGTGAAGAGTCACCTTCTCATCTCTGGGTTAACAAACCCTGCTGCCTTAGCCTCTCCCCCTCAAAGGCTCCATCTTCTTAACCATCCTCGTACCTCTGCTCAGCCCTGCTCCACAATGTGCTGGGAAACCCAAAACTGAACACGGCACTGCAGATACGGCCTTACAAATGCCAGACAGAGGGGAAAGTTTTCTTTCCTTGACCTGCTTGGCTGGCCCCTTCAGTCATTCCAGGCACCGGAGATCTAGGCCCTATATCAGCTGGAAATAAATATAAGGGTTTGGAAAAAGAAAGAAATATTTTGTTTTCAGCTGCTTTTTTGTAGCTTGCTGATGTGATAAAAATGGGATACAAGGTTTCTACTGCTCACCTGAAGTCTACAAGGAGGTGCTAGAGAAGGACAGCTTCAATGAACTGTATGCTAACACAGGAGCTGTACACTAACAGCTGCTCTTTCATCCTTAGTACTAGTTAGCCCAAGTAATTTGCCAGAAGCAATGAAGAGAAGAGCTGGTAGAGAATCTGCTTCTCTGCAGCTGTTCATACATACAGGGAATATGAGGAGTCACATTTAAAACACAAATACATTGGAGGAATTTAGCCTGCCAATGATTACTTTGATTAGACAAATTATGGACAAATAGAAACAAAAGCAAGACAACATTAAAAAAAATCTCCATTTATACACACCTTCTGCTTAAAAATTCATGTCATGTATATCTAAAAGCAACAACACTCAAGACAGTATACTCTTCTGTCTAAATCAGTGGGGAACTATGAGATACATATATATTATTATATCTATTGTAGTGGTAACGCCATCACATCATCCCATCTAAGAAAAAAGGGCCCTTGACTTCAGACTATGAGTGATTGGAAGGGTGAGAACTTCACACCAGGGAAGAGGAATAAATGAGTCTTTGTCTATTGATGCATTGTGTTACTGAAGATCCTTAATAGAAACTGTATGGTTTGGATTACTTACAAGTTTTAGTAGTGTTGCAATTGCACTAATGCTAGATTGTTATATTTTGTTTAGATTGTAAAAGCATTCATTGGGCTAACAATTTATAATTCTCATATCTAGTTCTTTTGGTTCCCCATAATGAAGGTGGTGTATGTAACAGTGTGTACTAAGCATGTATTTCAGGGCTAGCAAGGCTGGCTGCCAGTCTCTTGCTTTAACATATGACAGTTGTTCCTAAACTCAGTCATTTTTGCAGTCATTCTTTTACCAGTCTTCAGTGGTTTTTACTGTCATTTGGTGTGTGTGTGTGTGTGTGTGTGTGTTGTTTTTGTTTTGTTTTGTTTTGTTTTTTAAACTGTAAGTGACCATTCCTCTCTCCATTGCTGAAAGAACTCTGGTTTCCTAAAAAATTAGCACATAGATCCTAAGAAGATCTGGTCCCCTTTATCACATGCACTATTTTGATTAGCTTTTCGTCAGCTTAACTAACACAAGGATCACATTCTTCACAGTTGTTGATGTTCTTCTCACAAGTTTTATTCTAACAAGTCACAAATATGGTCAAAACAGAAGAAGTGATATATGAAGAATATTTGCATTAAATTGTTTTGCGGCAAATACAACATGGTATTTTCTTTAAGGCACAGCTTTTGAAGAGGAAAAAATAAAAGCAAAATATTTGTATTAGTATTTTAATAATTACCACATCTGCTAAGTAGAAGTTAAGAAATATCAGTACTGTTTTCAAAATAAGCTGCAAAATAGTAATTACATTTCACATTCAGCTGTTAGACACATTGGATAAATGGCTTTTGTATAGTAAATTGTTAGAGGCTATATTTTTCTAAAAGACTCACTGGCTTTCATTTTCTGTTTCTAAATAAAACTCCTATGGGCTTTCCACCTCACAACATAAAAACTTATCTGCCACTCATGAGACACTCAGATTAGAGAGAATTTTAAAATGTCAGTTTGAAGAGTTTGTATGAGCACAATAACAATCCAGGAAAAACTAGGATCCAGAACTTGTTAACTTGTTTTTCTGTACATATTTATGGTTACAAAAATGGCTGAAAATATTGAAAAGAAATTGTCAGATGACATTACTATATTATATCTCAATTATGAAACATTAAAAAATTACCACTACTTTCCATAAGGGCTTTTGTCCCTCAAACTGTTTAAAAAAATCTTATTTTTAAGGTAGATGGAAAAAAATACAAAATTATGCATATAACAATAATCTAAGTTTTAACTATAAAATAGATGAAAATCTCACTCAGGTCAAGGTTACTTTTTTGCTGACATTAGCAATGTTGATTTCATTAGCATGCTTTGTACAAGCTTTATGATGAGTTGTCATCTTTTCATCAATTTACCATCTAGAGAGTATGTTCTGTAATTCAGTAAGGTGATCACATTACCAATAATAAAGGTATGACTATGAAGTGTTAGTGTATCAGTTTGTGAAATTATTGTGCCTGATACCTAATTGAATTTATTTTTGTGCAACATAATAGATAGTGCTAAAATAGTTTAGTGTAATGTATGCCGAAGTCAGTAACCAGAGTTTGGGTGTTTTTTTCTTCCCACTGACTTCACTGAGGTCTTAATAGATCTAGAAGTGTGATTAAGTAAGTATTATTTAGGGAATACTCAAAAGCTGTCTTCTGTTCGGTCAGCAGTAGAAGCCACAGAATGATTTGCACTACTTGAAGAATTCAAGCAGCCCAGCAGTGAAACTCCACACAGCTGGTAGTGGCAGGGGAGTATCTTTTAAGGTCTCACAGGTCTTTGGAGTTTTGTCTACTACAGATAAATGCCTTACTGTAATGTGCATTGGTGTGATTGACTGTCATTAGGATTCCTGTTTCAGGTATGCATTATTATACCTACACAGCACAATTCCTGCAAGTGCTGTATGACTTGCAGTTTGTTTCACTGAAACTAAGTGACAACTTGGCATAGGTGCATGATTCCTATCATTTATACACATATGCTCCCAAATGACTTGCATCAGAGAAAATTGCCACTAAATCCCAGTTGGGACTCCACACACAGCAGTGGAGAACCAGATCTTTAACACCTAGTGATCATCTGTACATTTCTGGTTTGTCTCCTCTTGTATTTCAAATGTTTTGTGCCTTGCAGGGCATGGTCTATGGATGATTAAGTGTCAACACCTTCCATTTCACACTGAGAGACCTTGTTGCTAAAAGGCAGGTATGCTTACTGCTCCCACATAAGCACTTAGTGTTTACTGTATTTAGTCATTTTGAACATTTAATTATTTTTCATATGTTGTTCTGCGCTCTGCTTTGCAGCTGAACACGATTGCATTTCCCTCTGTGATTCAGAGATGGATGCCAGTATGTCAGAGCAACTTTCTGCTGGTGTTCACAGGCATCTGTTATGCCCTGTCAGTTCAATGTGCCTCCCTCCGTCTGCCTTTGTACGCTGTGAGTCTGATGCTCTGTGTACATTTTCTTAGAGAACTGCCCTGATGGATAGATGATAGAGTATATGAGCTAACTTGGAGCTACGGGGCAGAAAGATCTTCTGTCTAACCTTCAGCCTCTTCCTTTATTCTCAGTTAGACCTGAGACACCTTTTCCACTCTTTTCCCAAAGTCAGTCAGTCAGGACATGCACAAATGCATTTAATAACTTTTGAATGTTTTCTTCTCAAGTTTCTGTGGGCTCATAAGAGATACTTTTTTAAAAGTACAGTGTTTATCACATAGAGAACTAACTGTGCTTTGTATTTCACATCAGGTCTGCTTCCTTCTTTTTCCCATATCTTCAAAATATCTTCTGTATTTTTCCCCTTCCAAAAGAATTCAGCTCCTTAAAACCGTAACAGTGCAGGTAAGACATAAAGAGATTGATCAGTTAGTATGTTTTTCAAACTTAGCTTTTGTCTTTTCCTATTGAAAGCACAAGAATAAAGGATGTTACTCATGCAAAATGGTGACTCGAGAAATTACAAAAAAGTAAAAATTAAGCCAAAATGGAAATTAGTTGATCTCAACCTTCCTTGTCTCGTGTTAGCTTACTGTAGGAGTTGTATGGACACTGAAAGTTCACTGAAAGGTAGACAAGTTACTTTTCCTGTAAATAGGACACCCTGAAGTAAAAATTTTTGTCCTCATTGGGTTCTTCGTTTTCCGGTTTGCGAATATCAAGTGAGTCATCATTCACATACAGGTAGTAACTTGTATCTTCATAGCACTGGAACTGCACTGAATCTCCTTGGTAATGCATGATGAAAAAGTGATTATCTTCACTCAGCTATGAAAATAGACAAAGTAAACATCGTTATGTTTCTCAAGCCTTTCTATAGGGTTTCATATGACAAAAATTCATGTAAGTTGCTGGCTTGTTATATTTTTAATTCTTTCCTTTAATAACACACATTTACCAATTTTTAGATAAATCTTTGGCAACACCAGAGAGGTTTTTTAGATAAATCTTTGGCAACCATTTTGAGAGAGGTTCTGTGATAACTGTGAATAAAATAATACCCATCTTCCTCAGAGGACTGAGTATTTCCAGACCCATAGCTGCATTCCTTGGCTTCAGAAAAAGACCAGTAGTTTTCCTTTGTGGTACACCTGTTATTGGGATGCTTTAGGATTTTCATCCAGTTATTTTCTTACCACATACCTACCCTGTCAACTGCCACTAGCAACAAAATGTTAATCCACAGTTTTTCTTTTCTCTCTTGGAGTAAAATTAGAATATTACGGACAAATTACTCTTAAACAACTGCTCTATTACCTATGATTTTTCTGTACATCTCCAGTTTTCAATACCCTTTTTTTAAGATCAATCTTTAGAGGAATGTCTATTATCAAAACATCCCCTCTGTGTGTGTGAATGTGTTTGGGTTCTCTAGGCACATCAGTGTGAGGATGGAGAAATAGCTAACAGAAAACAAAACGCCAGAGAGAGGAGGAGTATGTGCTGAGAGGTAGCCTCTGGAAACGTAAGCCCGGGAGACTAGTAGCACTGTTAAATCTGCAAAAATTTACAAACTTGGGAGACCAAGGAGCTGCAGAACCTGCCGAAGGCCTCCAGCACCCACTGGCACCCTCGGCAGGTCACGTAACCCACACCACATCCAAGGCGGCAGCGGCTGCTACAGGTGGACCAGGGCTACAGGGCAGTGTGTGTAAGCACACCCGCTGAAGCGAGGGACCCCGTGTGCGAGCGTGCACAGCTGCCTGGAAACACCTGGGGTGTGGGTACCAGCCCACGATCCTGAGTGTGGCACTGAGTGAGGGAGTAACTGAGAAGACTGTGTGAATAGTTATCTGCTGCTAATGGTAAGAGCTTAATTAATAAAAGGTTAAAGTTTTTATTTTCCCCAACTCAACCTTTTGCCAGGGAGCAGGGAATTTATAACTTCTTTTAGGGAAGAATGAGATGGTAAATGAATGCATCATATTCAAATTATTTCCTCTTGCCTTTTGAGCGACCTGTTTGAAGACACTCATCCTACCCACAAGACAGTTCTTTAAGTCTGACCAGCCTGGTGTATCATCACTGTGCACAGTGCTTAAGGGGACCTCTAAAATGAAACTGAATGCTTGGGGAAAAGCAGGAGGATATTAAAGGGGCCCAGCTATGCTGGAGATTACAGTAATAACCACCTTTCCATGGAAGGAGGAATGTGTCCTTTCAACCCATATGACAAAAAGGGACAGAAAGGAAATGTCCTGCAGTTACTGCAGAGTACATGAAAGAAACTTGAGGATACACCTCCTGTATTAGAAGAGCTGAAATGGAAAGCAGCTAAAACATTCTGTCCTGATCAAGCCAGTGTAATGGCAGAGTATTTGCAGCTTCAATCAAAAAATTCTGTTTAAAAAAATACTGTTAAGAAAGTTGACGACAATTTGTCTTTAGGGAAGAAATACCTTCTAGGAACTCAACAAGGGAACAAGGAAATAGAAATGGAATAAGAGAATCTAGTGACTTCAGGGGTGAAAAAAACGAAGAAAGAAAACTTGCAGAAGCAAGGAGAGGGATTGATGTGTACAATGCAGAAACTCATCCTAGAGCAAGGAAGACTCCAATGGGATCTGGTAAATGTGAAGCCAAAATTAGGTGCTTGCAAAAGCAGATCACGGTGAAAAAGTTAAAAATAACTGCTGTATCTGCATGAATGATGGAAAATTAGGTGGAGAGCCAACACAGGAAGATGATTTGGGGAATGATACTGTGTGACTGGGAGAAGAAAGAGGAGCTGGGTGTAGAAGCATATCCAAACATTGCTAGGGCTGAGAGTTGCAGCAGGTCCTTGAAGAACAAGGTGTTTTGCAAGAAGTCATGACACAGATGATTTTTGATTATGGCCTGTTAAGAAGCCTGATGAGAAAACCTGGAGAATATGGTGAACTACTGCCAGATGAAGTTCATCCTGAGAACAGCTCCTACGGCAACAGGCATTCCCAAGAGATCATTTGCGAGTTCCAAGAAAAAAACAGCTGGTTTTCAGTTACAGATCTGACTGTTTCTTTGTCATTGCATTAAATGAGGAAACAATCTGCGGGTTAGGTTTCACATTTAGCGACAAAAAAATACAACTTTACTCACATCCCATAGGTAATTCACAATCCACTTGCAATAGCATATGTCTGCTTATGTTAGAAAAATGCTTCAACTGCTTATGTTAGAAAAATGCTTCAAATGTTTTAAAATAGACTCAAAATGGTTTAAAGTCAATTTGAGTAAGAAACCAATGATCATAACTCCAGGCTAAGCTCAACTGCTGCACTCTGAACCAGGAAGCAGTTAAAAGATAAAAAAGGAATGGGTATGAAGGCCAGCTGAAACAGAACTGATCATCTGACATTGTCATTACACAAAGGAGTATAGGGTGAACTACAACCTACATTTTGCCTCAGAAGAAACAAGGAAATGATTATATGATTGAAAGCTACATGAGTCATGCAATAGTGGTAAGCAAACTAGTAAAACTGAGCTGCCAAAGAAACTATGGACCTTGAAAAGTATTACAAATTAATTATATGGTGCTTTGGATTTGTGACTAATTCAGGGTTGATGACACACCAGTGTTTTGGCGATTGCTGAGCAGTGCATGCACAGCATCAAGACCTTCTCTTTTTCCCCACTCTGCCCCAGTGAGTAGTCTGAGGGTGGGCAAGACACTGGGAGGGAACACAGCTGGGGCAGGCCGAAAGTATACTCCATGCTGTATAATGTCATGATTAGCCAAAAAGACTGGTATAAAGAGAGAGGGTGGTTTTTTCGCTTGCAGGTGGCTGTTGCTCAGTGACTAGCTAGGCACTGATCTGCTTTTGGGAGGAGATGAGTAAATACTTTTGCATCACTTGGGTTTTTTTCTGACCTTCACATATTATACTGTCTTTTTCTTGACTCAGGTTTTCTCACTTTTTCTCTTGCTATTCTCTCTCCTGTCCCACTGGTGGGGAGTGGGATTGAGTGAGTGGCTTTGTGGGGGTTTGGCTGCTGGGTGGGGCCAAGACACCTCTGTGGTTTTTTTCTCACAGTTGATTCTGTCCTGAAAAACAGTAGGCTATGTATGCTTCCAACCCTGGGACAGTTGGTTACAGGTGTGTTGGACACCCTTCCACATGAAAGCAAACTGTGGCCTGCACTCTGCTGCCAAAGGGATCAAGAAAAATGCCTTGGCAATATAAGTTGTAGAATACTCTCCATCATATTTGACTCTCATTCATACTGGAGCTCTAAGGCTTCTGGTACAGCAGCACTCAATGGTGGCATGACTTTGTTCAGGCCAGGATAGTCCACTGTTAACTTCCACTCTCCATCAGACTTTCACACTCGCCATATGGGACTACTGAAGGGTGAGTGAAACTTGCTGATCACTCCCTGGCTCTCCAATAGATGAAGAATCAACTTACGGAGCCAAAAACCCCCCTCAAGCTACATGCTGAGCACCAAAAAGGAGTGTGGTGGGTTGCCCTTAGCCAGCAGCCAAGCACAGGAAACATGGCATTGTCATTACTGACAATGTCAAAAGTTCTGAACAAAGATAATACTGTGGAAATCACTTGCCATATTTTGCCTGTTTGGAGCTTCATTTTCTTTATTTTGGCCTATATAACTGGAGCAAAGAGTAAGTCCTATAAGTTCTTTCATGACAGCATAGCTAACCTCTGACTTGCTGTCCAGCTATAATAATTTAAATAACCCTGCCATTATCCACCAAGAGACAACAATTTGAAGGGGAGCTGCCAGATCTAGTGATATAATTGATGACTTCTGTAATCTTTTAAGCAAATGTGTTAAGAAGGAATTTAGGAGGGGTATCAACTGAAAAAGGAAAGAGAAAGGAAGGTTTGAAGCTGAGGGAAAACTGAGTGATGATAGTACTTAATAAGAGCTGAGAGGGTTAAGTATATATATGCAAAGGTCTGAGGATGGTAATGTATCATGAATAGTAAAATATTACAGCTGAACCAGAACAGAAGTAACACTGAAGGGAGATACTACAGATAAGTACCGAAGGAGATGTGTACTTCTCTGACAACCAACACATAATCACTAAACCCTAAACTTTTGGAAGAGTAAAAAAGAAATGGTATAAATTTATATGTAATTAATTTAAATGGTAAAATGAGAAGATTAAAACATATATATACATGTAAGAACACAGAAAATTAATAGCTCTCCTTGATAATTCCCACCTCTAATATTTGTTGCCCCTGTACTCCCTATTTTTACGCTCTGTTTAGCTGCCTGTGTCCCAAGGATACAGGCCCAGCTCTCATACTATGTGGCTGCATAATTTTGGTCCAGACTTGTAAGGAAAATGACAATTTATGAGATAGCCTGCAAGAAGATAAGAAGGGCATGAAACAGTAGCAGTCTAGTTGAGAACTCTAGGTTAAATCAAGCCATTAATGTCAACAGTGAATGATAAATAAAACTCATTTCAGCATCCTAACTATATACTGTTTTTTTCAGCAATGACTAGGATTAACACTTTCCTGCATGGGGGCTACATCAAGTGACAAAGTTTATAAACGTAATCTTGCTTGTGCTGAAAGAGACTGTATTGGCTAGCGGGAGAATTATATATAAGGAGTGGGAAACATCCCATCATTGTCAACATGTTGTGGGGAGATAGTTAGGAAAACCTTTTCTGTGGTGGAGTTAAAGGGAAATACTGTTCTGTATCTCTTAATTCATCCTGTTGTGTGGTTAACTGCATTTGCTTGTATGATATTATTAATTATGATAAGCATGCTCTATTATAGAGTTAAAATAATTATAGTTATAAGTAAATGTAAACCTGCTACTGAGTGAGCTGCTGGGGTTGGCCTCTCCGCTGCTGCTCCAACTGGGTGACCACACACGTGTGCACTGCCTGATGCAGTAACTGCATGTACAATGCAAACAGTTTTCCACTGTTACCAGCAGAGTGTTGCAACAAATACAGTTTGTGATCTGTGTTGCCTTCCTGACTTAATCCCCTATCAGAAGAAGATCTTATTATAAACTATTGCTTGCTGTTAGAAGCTGTTATTCATTTATTGAGATAATAACAGCCTAATTAATAAAAGATGTTTTAATAAATATTGTGAACCGTGTCTCCATAAGCGTTCGTTACAGAAATGGAAATTTACAACACTCTATGCAACTCTTCCTGCTGGTATAACAGCAGGCTCCACAGATTCTCATGTTTCTGGTAATTCTGCTGGCAGTCTTCCAATAAAAAAGGGAAAATGCCTGTCTTTAAGACTTACTGTTAGAACCTAGCAGACTAAATATCACATTGCAGCACCACATAGCTTTGTCATTGGCCATGAGAAGTATTTCTCCATCTCAGGCTACTACTCACACACTTTTTCACTCTAAGGATAGCAGAGACTTTATTCATCACACCAGAAATTATTTCTTGATCAGTGCACTCATTCTAGAAGGTTTATTAAGAATGTCATGATTCAGACTTCACTATGATTTTGCCTCTTGGCCTGACTGGATGTGGTTCAATTGCAGGCTGATGATTTCTCATACAAATGAGAAATGTTTTTATTCTTCTAACTGAAGGTATCAGCAAGAAATCATGGTGAGTAGATCACTATATGTCTGTTAGGTAACGAATGAGTTCTCAGAATGAATTTTTCATTTTAACTATCTGTTTAGAAACCCAGAGTCATGAATAGGTCTCTACAGACAACTGTTACACCTCTTTTTTCCAGCTGCCCCCCAAAACTTGCAGCCATCAAGACACTATTTCTTTCCCTATGAACAGCACCACAGATGAAAGCATATATTTTTCTATAAAAAAGAGTATGAAATAAATTTTAGAAGAATGCAGTACGACTGTGATAGTTTACATCATACAAGGAGGGGACAAGAAGTTGCCTTATAAATTTCCTAAGCTTTGTAGCTTTCTCCTTTTATGCAGAGCTAAGGAATACTTGTGGCAAGCAAGTACCTCAGCAGGACCTTAAACTGAAGGATCCACTTGAATTTTCCAGGCTCAGTATACAGGAGATTTGTTCATTAATTATTTTTAAAAATTTAATAGTACTGTAGCTCATACCTTTGAGAGACCATTTCAGAATTACTTCAAACAAGAAACTCTTTGTCATAATTTATAATTACCAGAATTAATTTCTGATTTAGGAGAAATATTAGCAATGTTAGAAATAGTAGGCTGGGAATTTTAGGTTTTCAGCATTTCACATTTGCTGTTACGAAGTTCTGAATGTTATCTGATCACAGATAGCTTTAATTTTGCTCACTGAAATTGGAAAGATTGTCTTTTCAGTCCCCCTGAATAGTAAATCCACTGGACTACAACCTTAACAAAAATAATGATTGGCTACATTTCCTTAGTTTTTCATTTTCTCTAGGTTAGAGTGTGTGTCTAAGATATCTTACAGAACAACTAAAGTAGTTTCCTTCCTTTGTTCACCATGTTTTATCATTTCTATCTAGAGAAGAGCCAACAAAGTCAAGCTTTGGTCACAAAAACATTTTAAGAAACCAGCTGGCTACCTTTATTTCTATACACAGTGCATTACTCCTGGTTTATAATCATCTGCTGATACAGAATTCAGTCTGAAAGTACATCAGGGACTGCTTTCTTCTAATTTCTTATTTATATTAAATTACATATATGTATATGATTTATGGTTTTATTACTTCCTGGAAGTTTTTGACTGATGGATTAGCTATTTCTTAAAAACATCATTACTCTTGTAGTCTGACCCTTCTAGATCTGTTAATATACTTATCTGGATTTACTAGATCTTTTCTAAGAATTTGTACCAAGTGAAAACTACTTGGTATCTCACTGCATTTTATATAAGCATAATAATACAGGAAACATCTCCATCTTTCATGTTTTAATTGAAAGTCAGATATTTTGCCTGCAGATTGAAGAATGTACTCATACATACAAGTCAAGACAAAAGTATGGAAAAGTTGTTACTCTCCTTTTTCTGAGGGAAATACTAAAATTCGGCTGAAGTAGGAAAGTAAACAGCCAATAAGTAAGAGCACGATGCATTTAGCTGCACTTTTTTTACACCTATGTTTGCATACACACTCTTTCACACAATTTTGATTTGCTTGATCATGATTATATACCTGTTTGAAGTCAGGATCTTCGTGGTTGCATGTTTTCATGTTGCAGCTTTCCACTGAAGGATAATCTGGCTCTGAACAGGATGCTTTTAAGACCTGTGATTACAACCACCCACAATGGTAATTTTGCTCTTTTAATCCACTAAATGTAATATTAATTCTAATGAAAAATCTCTTCTTAAAATAAAGTCCATTAATGATTAAGTTCAAATTATTCAAAATTAGTAACTTGATAAGTTCTCAAAACAATTCCATTAATAGATTCCTCTTTTACCATTTGCAATGCAAAATGAATTGGGTTGAAAACAAATACTGAAGACAGTCCTTCAAACTGTCTAACACCCAGATTCTATTTTGCAATGCAGCCAAGAATGAACCATGTTGTAACAGAATACCAGAACTTTTTAAAGAGCCTTGTCATCTTCCAAATCAAAGTTCTTGTTGAGACTAAGAAAATTATTTGTATTCTCTGGAAAAATAAAGGTCCATGATCTTTCCAAGGTTTTTACATATTTGGGAGACAATAGATACGTCTTACCTCATTTTCAGATAAGAACTGCTTTTTACCATGTCAAGATACATAGTCTGATATAACCTGGTACTTTAAAATAGGGGATTGGGCAGTCAAATCCATGAGGTCTCAACAGTCAGTTTTTTCTCTGATTTGGTGGGATACTTTTCAAGCAATTGATTTATGAAAAGGTAATCTCTGAACCAGAAAAATAATATTTATATAGTTGCTCTTTCAAGAACAGAAAGGAAAGTCCCAGTGGGATATAAACATAATTAATGTATCCTGCAACATACATTTCCCCAGATAATTTCAGGAAACAGATTTTATGGAAAGTCATCTGTAAATTAAAAACAAATGAAAAATATCAAAGACTTAATTTGAGGAAACATTTGGTGATTTACACCATCATGCATAGCCAGTATTAAATGAAAGGTCATTCTTTATCTCAGCATAAACTGTGTAAACAGAGCTTCTTAGACCTTTGCCCTGTTTTAGAGGGTAAATTCCAATGTAACACTTTCCCTCAGACAGATTTTAGTAATGGCTATAACCTTCCAATAGGGAAAACTATCCTTGCCTGCTCTTCCTAACAAAAACAAAACAAACCTTCAGAAGACTGCAGAAAATAAGAATACGCTGACAACAGATGGTAAATGTTGAAAACAGGATACTACATTCAGCTGTATTTTCTTTTCATCACATTCCTTGCCCTGTAATTCCCGTTGATTAGGAGTAAATAATTCTCCTCTTAAACTCATCTCTTTCCTAGGCAGCGTTCTTGCTTCTTCCTCCCTTTCTATTTCCTGCATGTTTTCTGGTTAAGAAGACCCCTCTCCCTCCACAGAAACTGGAACCCAATATCCCTGTCTTCTAGTTACAGTAGCCAACTACCTAACCCAATGATTTTTGCAATAATCTACTTTAAATATTTCCCCAGACAGAACAGAGGAAGGTAGTCAGAAGTTGTGAAATGTAGAAGGTGGTAAGTAAAGGAAAAGGAATTTGAAGAGGTCTTTTGGGTAAATTGTCTTAGAGTACTAAAGAGCACCCACAAGTTACAGAGGAAATAAACAACTTGTTACCTTCAGAGAGAGCTGCTTCTTACCCTTGCACAACAAGACAAATTCATTAAGCTTTGATCTCTGCGTGAGGATCACCAAATTTTTAGAATCTGTTTTACATAGAGGAGAATATTGTAATAAAACATGTATGAATTTGTAAAATGAAGCATAGATTAAAATATTTTGTAAAGAGACAACATTCAGGTTCACTTTAAATGAATAGACATAGGAATAGAAACAAATGTAAGCATTCCTGATACCGTTCACTTCTGAAAAGTCAAGTCTATGCCTTTATGATGCTTTAAATTTGCCAGATATAGACTTTTTTCTCTATACTTATAGTTAATGTATGGAATATCAGTTATACGTTAATATGTATAATAGGAAATAGAGAGGCATATATATTAGTATTTAACTCATAATATACACGTTTATGTAATGTCCTGTGTATATATCACTATGGAAAATGTAGGATTTTTTCCCTTTTATTTTCTGCATGGTTACTAGGTCAAAATCTTTCCACTATCATAACTTTGGGTGCATTATATTTACTCCCTTCTGAGACCGTACTATTTTTTCAGCTGCAGGAAACAACAGTGTATCAATAATACAGGATACTCCTCAGACTGACAGTATTTTCTACCTTTTGGTACTTCAAGGCAACAGCAAAAAGTAAATAAATTAACATACACTTTGTTATCTGATACGGTATACAAGAGCATTACCTAGCAAAGCCTGTGAAACTAGTAACTATCCATGATGCTATAACTACCTGATTGCCTTGCAGATATACTTCAAATAATACCACTTGTGCTTGTAAAATTATCTCAGCTGCACCATTTAAGACAAAAAATATAAAAGAAAGTAGCAGTTGATCTATATGTCCATCACTGCTGTAACTGAATGCAATTTTTACAGAGGTTAAGTAATTATGCATTAACAATTGCAGTTAAGGAGGTATGTTTTTCATATCAACAAAGGTATTTTGTAGCCTTTGAAGGATATTCAGAATCAGCAGATCATATTCATCCCACCTGACTGATTTTAGCTGCTCTAATCCTATCACTGATTTTAGTTGCCCTAACTTACCCTAACCGTAATGCTCTTGTGAAAGCCCTCTGAAGAAATTTTGTCTGAGCCAGGTATAGCATGAAAATAGCATAAAAATCCTTGTTAAAAGTTGAGACACACTCCAGCCTAGTGTATTTTACTCCGTTTACACATGTATTCAGATAAATGTAGTAGAATGTAAAAGGTCTAAAATTCCACCGTTTTTATTACTTTTTGTGACATCCCTTTAGATTACCTCAGCCACAATTGTCCAACTTCAGCTGAAGCATGTATGAGGCCCATCAGCAGGCAAGAGAAATTTCATATCCAAGTCGAGAGTGTTTTGACTTAGAGGTAAGAGTGGCAACAAAAGAGGGATGCAGGAGTCCAGACAGCTGACCAGGGACATATGTCAATATGAGTTACATCCTAACTATCCTTAGCTTTCTCCATCTATAGAGTTTATTGTGACTTGCTTATACATTATTTAGTCTGAGTAAATCCCAAGGAATCTAACTTTCCCTGTCACCTCTGAAAAACATGACAAGTGGTCTATCAGGCAGACAGTGAACGGCAAGGAAAGTAAGGAACTTTTCCATGATTTCATATGTGATAATTCCACTCCCTGATGGCCTTTGGATGAATTACCTAGCCTAAAACCTTACCAGAGTCTAAGGGGCAATTTTACAAATTCATGCAAAGGAAATCCTTTGAAATTAACTAAATACAAGAAACCACTTCTTGCTTGGGGTGTCCCTGAAATGCAAAGTGTTGGGATTTGTGAGGGTATCAGTACTTTATACTGTTACCTAGAAATCCTCATTTGGCCATTGTTCAAGACACAGACGCTGTTTGCTCTCATCTATTACAGCAGTCCTTTATGGCTGAAATCAGAATACATTTCTCTTCTACTGTAATACCTGGAACTAATATACCTTTGATTTTCCCAATAATTTCCTATGCTTACAATATTAAAGTTCCAAAAATGTGTCTCTTCTTTCCTCATATTAATTTATTTTTGTTTCTCCTCTCCTGTTACAACAGGTCTTTGCTAGCTAAGACCCATAAGCCAGAGATAGAGCACACACGCTTTCCCTTAAAAAATTTGGATTTTATAGCTTGTACACATTCTATTTCCTCCTATACATTTGTCTTCAGTCCAAGCCATTTCTCAAAACTTGCTAAGGCAAATTTTCTGACTTCGATGATTTCTTCTTATAAAACACAGAAAGATTCTTTCATTTTTAGACTTTTCCAGCAACTTGCCTAAATGAAAATCTGGAATATTATGTTACTTCTAATGTCAAGTCTATGTATAAAACACTACTAATTTATTTTCCTACTCTCAAACATCTCCTCAAAACCAAACTCTAACAAAGAGAATGGTACCTTTTCTTCCCACAGGACTCTTACCAGTAACTGTCGGTTCATTCCTTGTGAACACGCTTAACCATGCAATATCTAAAATAGAAGGTATTAAACAAGTACGTGGAATTAGATAGCTACATTCTACAAATTTAAAAACTTCACAAACAATTTAAATAATTGTTTTAAAACATAATCTGAGAAAGAGTGTGCAATAGCAATAGGCATCAGACTTCAATTCCCACAGGTCTCTGAATCCATATAAACCCAGAAGACTGTACAGTTAGGCTTGTGAACAAGTACTCTGAAATCTGAACTCTGAGTCTACTAATATGTATTGATTGATTAAGTAACTTTGGCAAAAGAGAATGCACTTGAGATAACAGAGGTCAGTAATGAGATGTAAGATCTAAAACTCTATTGAAGAGAAGCCTGAAAGTCTTTGGCAGCAGATCTGAGGACCCTAATATGAAATGTACAGGATTATAAAGTAACAGGTAGCAATAGCAGGGGGTTTCTGTTTTTTCTAACATCAGCCTGAATCATGTAGTCAGCTATCTGAGGAGGGTATCATCCACGTTACAGCTAATATGGTATTGTCTTAGCTGTATCATCATGAATATATGTTTGTGGTGCTTGTGTTTACATATACAAGAATATCACATAGCATTTCCTTTTCCTTTTCTTTTTCTTCTAGGAACATCAGTATCTTCTACATCAAAATTGTCACACTATGGATCTATTCCCAAACTGCTTCTATTGTATAACTATACAGATTTTGTTTCCGTTCATAAATTGTAAATATTGTATGAGTTACTTCAAAATTTTATGAAATTATCAAGTAAAAGATACTTCAAAAGACATAAAGCATACTTAAATACCTTATCAGTGCAGCTGTCATTATTCACAAAATTCAACAGAATAAAAATAACATTATTTTAGTTTATAAATATATTAAACAAGCCTTTCTGTGTCTTTATTTGAAGCATATATAATGGACTTCTCATTCCTGTAAAAGATGGGGTTTTGAAAGAAATTAATTTTCAGTAGGCTGATACTTATATTACAGATTTCAACTTTTTTCCTGTATTTTGCTTAGAAATATGGTTTATTGTTTCTTCTCCCTAATTTCACATTTCTAGAAAATGTTTAATTCTAGAATAATTGCATTTGTTGTTATTTGCTTCTTCGCTAACAAGAGAATACCCTCTAACAACTACATTTGTGTTGTTAGTTGTGATATAATTTTTGGTATCAAGTAGAGAAGCACCATTTGAGATACAAGAAGAGTTCCAGGAAAAATAAAATGATCCTGCAAATTCCCCAAATTTCTCTATTTTACTCCAGTTTGCCCTTGTCTCTGAGGATTATCTTTGCTTTCACTCCCTTAATAGTTAAGCATCTGGACTTCCCATTACCTCAAATGGGAGTGAATAATCTCCTTATCAGTTAAGTATATTATGTACCTACTGTAAACTAGAATAAAAGTTTTCTTATATCATTATCATTATTCATAAATATGCAATATAATGTTATGACTGGAGAAAACACAGAATCATGAAATCATTTAGGTTGGAAAAGATACTTCAGATCATCAGGTCTAACCATTAACCTAGCACTGACAACTCCAACACTAAACCATGTGCCTAAGTGACACATCTGCACATCTTCTTAATATCCCCAGGGATGGTGACTCAACCCCTTCCCTGGGCAGCCTGTTCCAATGCTTGACAACACTTTCAGTGAATAAATTTTTCCTGGCATCCAACCTAAACCTCACCTGGCATAACTTGAGGCTATTTCCTCGTGTCCTATCACTTGTTACTTGGGAGAAGAGACTGACACCCACCTCACTACAACCTCCTTTCAGGTAGTTGTAGAGAGTGATAAGGTCTCCCCTGAGATTCCTTTTCTCCAGGCTAGACTTCCCCAGTTCCCTCAGCTGCTCCTCACAGGACTTGTGCTCTAGACCCTTCACCAGCTTCATTGCTCTTCTCTGGACATGCTCCAGCACCTCAATGTTCTTCTTGTAGTGAGGGGCCCAAAACTGAACACAGTACACATAATAGTACATTTTAAAATGTCCTGTAGTACTACACACATGGTTGGTGAGCTTTGGTATAAGAAGCACACTACCTTCATGGGATTGTGAATCTTTAGTTGATATTTCATGATGACCATCTTCATCTATGTCAAAATGCACTGTTTTTGAATCTTCAGTCAGTATATAGCATTTCAGTGTTTCTCGCAGACTAAACACTATTCAAAAATGAGTTGTAATTAATTTTACTAGCAACAGAAAAAAGGTAAAATTCCATAATAAAAAGAACAAGTGTATTTTATAGCAATTTTGCTTGACAATCTATGTATATTTGAACTAAGAACAGTATAGCCAACATAGAATAGAAATTGTACAGTGGATTTAAGGAGCTGGTTTTGGGGCTTGGGTGGTGTGAAGAAGGAAAGCAAAGATTTTGAAAGTTATATCAGTGAGAAGAAATGTATGCTGAACCTTTTGGAGAATTAACATATGCAAAAACTTGATCTTGAAAAAATGGCTTCTAACCCAAGAGCCTGAAGGATAGTGTTAAGAAGGGGGATTGTGGACAACCTGAAGATAGGTGTGTTGAAAGACACTGAAAGGAACAGAAGGAATTTGAACATGAGAGGGGGGACCTAAATTAGCAGTTTGCTGGTGAATGAGTAGTCTTACAGTGGGGGAGAGAGCGCTGTTGGGAGCCAGAGCCAGAGCAAGGTTGCGCACAGAAGCCTGCACCTGGGGAGAGATGTAAAAAACACAGAGTTAAGTTATAAATTTTCATTCTGAAGAAGAGAAGAGGTGAAGCAGGGAAAGTATCTCTACAGAATACTGTTTCTGGACTAGTTTCCTTTATTTCATAGGTAAGTACTTGCCTGTTTCCCGGTTTTGCACTTTGAAAATCGGATCTGTGTACAGACAAGAGTTTTAGGTTAGAGTGCATATGGCTACCTAAAATAGAAGCTTTTATTTTGGAGACCTGACATCTCTTACTGAAAAGAACCCATGTCTTTGTAGTTAAAAGCTGTCAGGAGGGAACTTGTTCCCTATTACTACTGAACACAACCATGCTGTTCTGGATGTCAGAAGGATGTAGGTCCAGGCACTTGGGTGTCAGACAGCTTACAGAATAACACTCTAAGGCACAATTTTTATTATGTTAGGCTGAACATTGTTTTACTGGAATAGGTTTACTACTTTCAAATCCAATTAAGACATTTCTGAGACCATACAGACCTGCAGGGTATGCTGTAAGATACAGTCCTTTCCTCACCAGAACAATCAGACACATGAAACAACAGGATACTCAAAATGCACCAGCAGTGACATAATGTTCTGGGAGTGCTTGACTTGACAAAAACTTTGTTACTCATTTTATATTGATGTACCTCCTCTGAAACATCTATATTTAAGCAGACATTTTGAAAAACAGAGTTATTTCCAAGACGCTTTCTTTCCACCCTGTTTAGGCTGAGAAGAAATTCTGCATGTACAGTCAGTGAAAGAGGTGGATGATGCACACCCTGACAGTCCATGTCACACCCTCCAGATGTGGCAGGTCTGACACGCCCTGCGCTGGACATTTAGCATGTACATAGCTGACCTATGCGTGGGCAAAGGCCTCCTCTTCAAATGGCTGGTAACTAAGGCTATCAGGCTTCCAGAAAAAAGTTGGGTTGCTCTAAAAAGCAACAGAACAACAACTACAATAATCAATACAGCATATCCTTTAAAAATTGCTATAGTCATTATATTGTAAGAATTCTACTTTTAAATAGAATTACAAGAACAAGTGCCGTGCCCAAAATAAAATGGTTGTCAGGCCTGCTACATCATTCACTCTTTTCCAGGGAGATATAGATATACTTTAGTAATTATTGGTCTGAGTTTGGTGGTGTGGAAAATCTAATGTCTCTATTTTGAGGAGTATCTCTGTAATGATTGTTTTAAAGGCAGCTTGCGTTATTTTCTTCTTCCAGGCATCTTTATTTTTGACCTCATTATAGATAAGCTGTTGCAGGTACTTAATTTGGTTGGACTCTGCCTTGGATTGGAATCATCTTTCCAAGATTACAAACATACCTGTCAATCAGGAAAGAGTTACCTGACTTCTCAGAAGCTGTTTTCACAGCTGTCAGCTGAGATTGTCTCTTAACAGAATGCCTTCCATGGAGAGACACTTCATATGGCTTTCTGCGGCCCGAGCGGAGCAGCATTGCAGAAGAACTCAAGAAATCCTGATAACCTGAGTTGCCTCTCTTCCAGTCCTAAAGTAGGAGTTAGAATTTGTCACAATACTTCATGTTTCAGTTGAGAAACAAGTTTGCAAAGAGGATAATTTTGATAAATAACAGTTAAAGGAAGCAGGATAAACTCAGTAAATGTTTGACTGCTTGCATGACCCAAGTCTGTGTCTTGAAAGGTGAAAATGGTGTGTTTCCAGTGACAGTAAATCAGTTGTCTATCTACACTTCCACTAAGATGGAGGTTATCATGAATAGAGTTGTGTTGAAGGAATATATTTTAAAAGATTTCCCCTTAGATAAAATATAAGCAGTTTATGTGACTTCAATTTAATTTATTTATGTTTCTCAATATAGGAAGCTAACTACACTTTGTTAGCTGAATTGAAAAATCATATTATTTTTGTTCTTCTGAATACCGTCTAAGATATTTTTCTAAGTATTCATAAGTGATTGAAAATTATGCTAACTTCAACATAGCATAATCTGAGTTTCAGTAAAGACATGCTGCCATATTGCAGTCTTAAACCAACATTCAGGAAATGTTACCTCAGGAATGAGGACTGGAGTTTGGGAATCTGAAGAGTATGTTAGAATTATTAGTGAATAGCACAAATGACCAGAAAAAAAATCAATCTCCTACCATTAGCACCCATTCATATTTTCAAATTTTTGTTTCCTTTATGATTCAATAATTTTACTTCAATGTGCTCTGCATTTTTCAAAATATCTTGTATTTGTGACTATGTTTACAAAAAATAATTCTCTTCAGTTTTTGAAGGCTAGCTGAATAAAAGGATAGCTACATTACCTAGGCGAAGTATCCTAAGGAGAAGCTGGTGTATAAGAATGGGAAAAATACTAACTAAGGAACCACCCAGGCAGCTATTAAGATATCCTGAGGACTCAGCTTAAATTACTGCATTTCAGAAAAGCTAAGGATCTTACTTTAGTTTGAAGAAAGGGAAATGGGAATGCTCAAAGTCTACACTGTCTCCTGAAGTCAACTGTTTATGATAACTGTTTATGGCAAGCACAGACCAAAGAAGACAAAGAGCTTGAATTTTGTCTGGTACCTTGGAGAATGAATCACGTGAAGATGGGAGTAATTTTAGCCCCATGCAGCTTTGCACAGAATAAATAAATATCAGTTAGGCCAGAGATAATGGCTCTGACACTAGCATAATGACTTGTGAATTCACCTGGGGGAGGGGAGTTCTATCTTCTGGTTTGGTTCAATCTACCAATGCAGAATTTCACATGAAGTATTTATGTGAAATGGTAGAAATGAAAAATTTCTGTCCCAGGCTATTCTCTTTTTACTAGACTATGAAGGCTAACTAAGGCTCTTTTTCACTCTCTTTGGCTCTTTACCTATAACTAAACATTCAGTTAGGCCACTGGAAAGTAAAACACATATTAGAAAGAATTAACTTATTCTTCCTAGTAAAGATGTCTCATTTTTCAAATGTCTGATAACTTGTAGTCAGAGGTAGAAAGTGAAGGCTGGGTTTTCTTCATGTTGCTGAAATTGCTTTATCGCTGAGCATGCTAAACAAGAGAAGACTCTAGTTTTCCACTAAGTCCTAACTGGGACTTGACCTCTGCAAACATTTAACCGAATCAGGCTCTGCAGAGTATGTGGGCAGGAAATACCAGCTTGTGGATCTTGAGAGACATTAGTGTGCTAGGAGTTCAGCACTAACAAAGCATCAAGACTCTGTTAGATCTAGGATGCTCAAAATAAGACATTTACTCTCTTATAGAACATTCCTACTGAAAACATAAGTGCAATTATAGTTTGGCTGCACTTGATCAGAAGTTCTGAAGATCCCAATTCCTAATTTTTATACTCAGTGAAGTAGTCAGGGACTTGTCATCTGCTAGATTTACCCTTCATATACTGCAGTTACTAATGTCAACTTATGTTGAGTTAGTCCTAAAGGCCTAATGAAATCTCTTTTTTTTTTTTTTTTTTTTTTTTGAGAACCAATGTAAACCATCTAGATTCGGTTTTGCATCTGTGTTATTTGCACCCACTACTGTAAGAAAAGAAGGAGAATGATTACAAGTCAAAACCCTGAAGAATTCCGGAGGAGGGCAGGCCAGTTCAAAGAAATTTTCAGAAGCATATTTAGGAAGTGGATAAACTCTTAGAATAGTCTCTATGGAGAAAGATAGACAGGTAGTCTTGAAATTCTGAATGACTGTACTTAAGTTCAATTATTTTGGCTTGTTTGAACAACTAGAAAATGGAAAAGTCTCTGGTAGAACTTCACTTCTGTTAGCTCCAGAACAAATAAAGCTCTCTATATTAAATAACAAAAAGTTGCCATAGCTTGAATTGCTTACATGTCCCTTAAGACTGAGTGGCATAGAAATACTCCCATCTCAATAAGCCATTTCTCTCATGCCACATTCTTACATAGATGTCTCCTACTCCCACTTTTTTTACTCTTATTCACAGTTTTTAATGCTGTGTGTCTCTCCCTATGTATATTTCTTTGTTTTAATGCCTTTCACACCCATTTCTTTAGTTCTTTTCTCTCTTCTGTAAAATACATTCTGCTTGAAGAGGGCTAGGAAGAGCTGGAAACTGTTCTTGGCTGCAGACCTAGTTAACCACTGTTTGTTTTGGAAACTTTGGTCTGTTTTTCATTGTTTTCCACCTAAGCTAAGTACAAAAGAAGCAGAAAATTTGAGCTATAGATCTTTAAACTGCTGAAAACAGGTATATTTGAGTAAGTTTGTGGCCAGTTGCAACAAGATCACCCTAAAAACACAGGGAATTTGAAATTTTTTCCTGCTACATAGACTATAGCAATTCATTTATATGATGGCAGCAAAGAAAATCTGGTCTATAGCTTCTCTTGCACCCTTAATGATCTAATTTGTTCTTAGCTATCACTCTCTCTCCCACTTAATCCCCACACACATCTGGTCATAAAATTAGATCAATTTCAGTACATGAAAACAGAATTTAAAATTTTGGAGTTCATTCACATGGTGGTAAGATCCAAGTATTATCTCATACTATATAGATACATTCATAACAAGGTATCTCTAAGACTGTTAAAGGATCAGAACTGTTTTTCTTGAGTGTATTGGGTTGCAGCTGTCCTGTTTCCAAAGGACATAAGTAACTTGTCCAAGTTTGTTACAATTTAACAGCGGATTAAAAAGAACTTTTGGCATCCTATAGCTAATAAAAAATGAGGTTATAATCTCTTTCACATCAGACAGACTTTATGAAATCTATACTCTAAACTAGATATAGGAGTATAGAAAAGTAGACATAAACTATACTAAGGAAGAGATTTCAGAAGAAAACTTTGAAGTCAACTGAAAAGATCACTATTTGCTAGAATCTAAACAAGCAGTCATATAAAATCTTAAATTGAAGCCTATTGAAAATCCTGCTGTAACCTTCCACTCTTGCTTACCTTATTTTGCCTGCTATTGTCTCTGTTGGGATACTTCTTCTCAGCAGAATGCTAGAAGAAGCTCTGTTACAGCCAATTTATTGCCTGAACACATGGCAGGAAGCCAAACCTCTAAACAAAAGAAAAAGTCTGACGTGGACCTAATCTTTTAGATCTCTACATTCACTCATTTACATCAATATTCTCATGCTGGAATTCTCACTGTTGCTGGAATTCCAGGTGTGTTGGAAATAGTAAGAACAAACTTTTAAACATCTGGTTCTCTAAAATGCCACAGAAGCTGTCTTACCTAGAACTACATGGAAAATTTTAGCCAGTAGTTTTGTGCAATGCCTGAAAATACTCATAAATACTATTCTGATATTTTACGTCACTGATGTTGTTCTTGCTATCTAACACTCCTTCCAAGGCTGATTCAAGGGCAGATGCTGGGTTTATGGTAATATAGACGTATTAAAAGTAGGAGTGTAGCCTCAGTTGCAGAGAGCTTGAAACAACTTCACTGTTTAAACATTTACCCAGCTATTAAATGGGCTTTACAGGCATTGCACCAATGTCAATAACTGGACTGCTTGTGACATGAATGAACTTGTTTAAAGCACGTGCTGTATTTCTTTGCCCAGAAAGTCCAGATAATGGTTTTTATCATACAAGAACTATCTCTCTCATTATTACACCTGGCATGTTCAGCTGGCTTTATCTACCCACCTATATACATTCCTAACCCTTCACTCACCTATTGGTCCTCTCTATTCATACAGACGATATTTGTTTCAATAAGTGAGCCTTGCATTTTTAAAGGAGTAAATCACACTTCCATATACCTCACTGAAACAGTGAAACTACTCTAAAAACAATAACAATTTAATTTTTTGCCAGAGTTTTCTTAAAATCAAGGAGCTACTACTTTTATTTAGAATTTGTATACTGTGTCATGCTGATGATGCTGCAGCAGCTGCATTTTTTGGCAAGGAGCAGATAGGTCCAGGCTGCAAGATGTTGACTGCATGTCACATGAACCTGCCTTACAGGTTGTTTCTGTTCCCGGGCCACAAGATAAAATTCCAGGTTTAAGTGAAGTGTTTGTGATCCCTACAGCCACAGCACAGAGCAATTTTTTCTTTTAAATTACCAACTGTACGAACATATAATGCACTACACCAACACTACTGCAGAATAGCTAAGTAGTAACATATTCCATCAGCAGCCACAAGAAGAAACAATCTCAAACTAATTGTAATTGATACAAGTTAGATTAAATGGATAGATTAAGCCATGTAAATATCGAGGATGTATCCACATTGCAGCCAACCTCCCATCTTAGTCTTTATAGTTTATTTTAAAATTATTGCTGTTTAGACTATAGCTGACTATGTCATTGAGCATTTCTGGATCTGAAGAGTCTCTCTAAATCCAGGTCAGTAATGGTTTTCCATAATAAATAGAGGTTTCAGTTTACTGTATCCCAAAGTTCAGTGTTGGCAGAAAGCTCATCAATGAAGCAGCTGTGCAGTACCCTCCCTGACCAGCACACACTCCCATCAGCAATGGCAGCATCAAAAGTAGGAACAACCAACAGGGAATTTGTGCAGGTCCTGATGAAAAATGTCAAGGTATCATGGGAAAAGTACCATTGGAGGGGAACTACCTGCTCCACTGGAGAGGGAACAGGGAGAGGACACTCATCTAGGAAGCTTCACATTCTTCCCTTCCTGGCTGGCCACTGGGAAGTGTTTTCCATTCTCTCTCTGTCTCTTTCTCCCTCCTCCCACCTACCTCTATCTCTCTTTCTCTCTCCTTCTTGGCACCTATGTCTCCCTTTTGCTTTTTGTCACTCCATCTTTCACACTCCTTACTTGTTTTTTGTTTTCTTTTCTTTTCCCAGCTTCACCATCAGAGTCGATGTATTTCATCAGCCACCGATCCCACTAATAACTGTATCCCTACAGTTACTATGCTAGGTCCAGTCCACCACTGGACATACCTTCAACATTTTCTTCTAATTCAAATGAGTATCTTGTATTAAACTATCTTGAAAGGCAATAGCTTTAGAAAACAGTTATATTGAGAAAAATGTCAACAAAATTACTATAAAATTAGTTTTACTGTAATTATTGGCATAGAAAGTAACAAGGAAAACAACTACCTAAAACTGTTTTTTTGTTGTTTTTTTGGTGTTTTTTTTTTTTCTTTTAGGTAAGAGGATATTCATCTACAAAAAGTAAATATTTGCTACAGTGATAGGAACAAAGAAGTTTCCTGGTGCCACATGCTATTGCATGAATAATGTTGAGCATAGAGTAAATACCAGTAACTACATTTTATCAGCCAGTTAATTTGCAAAAAAAAAATGCAGGAGACATAACTCAAAGTCTCTCAAGCTGGAACAAAACTGAAACATAGACAATGGACTGTACTGCACCAGAAAAAAAAAGATCAGATATAAAAACTTATTTCTAATGCTGACTACAATGTATTGTCAGATTTACACTGGGGAAAATTTTGATTACAAATAGTAACTTTCTAAAGAAAGCCTACCCAAAAACATTTTCAGTGAAAGTGATTGAAAACATTAAAACACATGTGAAAGATAGGATTTTCAGATTTTGGAGATGTCAGGTCAAAAATACTTGCTCTAGTTTTGAACACTGAGCTTTTAGTCTAAAATCCAGTGACTTACTAATAGGGAATACAGATAGTATGTCCATTATATCAAAACATATATTAGTATTTGTATGAGAAGTTCCTCTTTTTCTTCACATTGAGGTCTTTCTCCCCCAAAGGCATGAAGATACCATACAGAATATATTTAGCAGCTTATTGAAACAAACTGACATGGCAATCTACCAATACATTTTTTTCTTGGAAACTGTAGGAGTTTTTAATATTCTAAGAACATTTTAACATGAACATGTAACAGTCAACTTTATCTTATTTCGCATCCTGTTTACATGGCATGCCAAAGATATATGTAGGACTAAATTAAGTCTACTGTAGCCTATCTATTGCTCCCAGTACTTCCAAACTGTCATTAAATAATGTTGTACTACGGTCCTACTGTGAAGTTTTCCCCTATTCAGAACAGTGGGCACTTATTTAAACCTCCACGCGTTTCTATATAACACAGAAGACTAATGACTTGCTAATGCCTATGCTGACCACTGCTGCAAAGTCTAACACTTTTTTGAAAAACCTGTCCTTAAAAACATACACACAAAAGTGAAGAATGGTGCTGTATCAATGGAAGCTATTTCTGCTCCAATGCCATTTTGCTATTTTTAAACACTTCTCAAAGTCTAGAATTCTTACACTGAATGTCACTGCAGTTGTTTTTCACTCATTATGGGTTACATCATTTTAAGTGTTTTCAGGAATAACAGAAGGATGACATGTCTTGAACCTGAGATCAGAAAAGATGTGCTCTCTTCACTCACGAGGGGACACACAGGTCCAGAGAAGGGGTTCAGCAAAAGTGGTCCACTGCACAGTAATATGTTGCAATACCCAGAGGTGTTATAAGCCATGTACTTTCACTGTATATAAAGGAAAACCTGGAGGCTGCTAGGACTTCTCCCCAGACTACAGTAGCTTCTCTTTCTTACATGCAAAATGGAGTCACATTAACTTGGGCTTTCGCCCTTCTATTCCAAATGATAGTAGAGTTAACTTCAAAAGAGAGTGGGAGTGGTACAATATACAGGGACATTCCAGAAGTTTACATTTTCATATTAAAAGTTACACAAAGTGAAACCATGATGTATCTTTAAAAAGAGATACATTCTCTTCTTCTATAGTTGTCTTGATTTCAGTGGTGACTTTCAATGAGGTACAATGAAGACTTATCCTCAGTATAGAAGGATCCAGTTGGGAACTTTTAAACAAACTGCATGTAAACAAGCCCTTTAGACTTAATGGAGTGCACAAGTGCTGAGGGCAGTGCCCAATGTCATTGCGAGGCCACTCTTGGTTAGCTCTGAAAAGTCATGGCAACTGGGAGAGGTTTCTGAGGACTGGAAGAGACCAAATGCCACTCCTACTCCCAAGCAGGATAGGAAGAAGGATCATGGGAAGTACTGACCAGTCAGCTTCACCTTGATCCCAGGGAAGATGAAACAAAGCACTAGAAACAATTTCTACAGTATATGAAGGACAAGAAGGTGATTTGGAGTAGTCAGCATGGATTCATGAAGGGTAAATCATGCCCGACCAACCTGATAATGTTCCATGATGGGATGACTGGCACGGTGGATAACAGGAAAGCAGTGGATGCTGTTTATCTTGACATTAGTGAGATTTTCAACAGTCTCCCATTGCATACCTAGTGACACACTGATGAAATATGAACTAAATAAGTGGATAGTGGCGTGGGTTTAAAACTGATGTCAGGCTTAGAGGGCTGTAATCAGTGGCATGAAGTCTACTGCAGAGGCCAGTCACTCATGGGTTGATACATCTTCATTGATGACCTAGATGATGGAGCAGAGTTCCCCCTTGGGAATTTTGCAAACAACTCAGAACTGGGACGAGTGATTGATACGCCGGATGGATACACCAGATGCTGCCACTCAGAGGGATCTTGACAAGCTGGAGAAATGGGCTGATAGGAACTTCATGGAGTTCAACAAAGGGAAATGCAAAATGCTGTACCTGGGGAGGAATGACACCCCACACCAGCACAGCCTTGGAGCTGATTAACTGGAAAGCAGCTTGACAGAGCTGGAACAGGTTGACTGGAGAAGCTGTGGAGCCTCCACCCTTGAAGATACTCAAAACCTAACTGAACAAGGCCCTGAGCAAGCTGTTTTAGTCGCCCATGCTTCGAGAATGAAGAAATGGAGGTAACAGACCTCCAGAGGTCTATTTCAATTTCAACTATCATGTGATTCTGTGAAACTAATATTAAGAAAAATATTTATTATTTATATTGATTGATTTATTGATTTACACCAACATGTCTAAATCTCCTGTTTGGAAATAATTGTGGTTTTAATTTGAATGTAGTCAAAACAGATGTATAGAAGAGATATAGTT